CTTACTCTTTTTTTTCCCTTATTCAGTTTGCTGTACAATTCTACAAACTTGTTTTTGGAATAATGTGTGAATATTCCATAATATTTACCCAATTTGACCTTGTGCAGCATTATAGGAGATAACACTATATAAATGAATAATAAGAAGAAGATTAGCATTCATACTACAGTGCTAATTCAGATTCTTTTTTTTTTCTTTAGCCTCTCACATTGTATTTTTTCTTTCCAAGCTCCTGCTTGCTTTGCCAAACTCCTGCTCATCTCAGCACTCAGCACAAGTTCATTTTCTTTCCTTTTCTTACTCTTTCCACTTTCCACTTTCTTTCAAATACTCCTTGCTTTTTGAATTCTAGGTCCCAAAATATTGTGTCCTTATTCTTTCCCATGCTGACTCCCTTTCCAAAACTTTTTTTTTGCCCGTTGCCCAACTGAGGTTATGTTTATGAAGAGGTCCTTTCTACTGGGGGCCCATAAGCCTTTCTTTGCAAGGTATCCAGGTTCTGTTTTATTCCAATAATGGTAAAATGTTTTAAGATTACCACTATGGATGATCACTGCAAGGATGTGAGTTATGTGTTGTATGGTCATATGATCTGGGCCTTATTCATATATACCAGAGGCCTGACCACCAGCAGTGGAGGATTATGAGTGATGTAGAGCATTAGGTGCAGTAGAAGCTCATGTGGATCAGGATCGTGGGGCAGCAGGGGCCCTGACTCCTATCATACTTTAGGGCAGAGGTTCTTAGCTGGAGCCCAAGGATCTCTAAGTGGTCCATTGATGAGTTTCAGGGGGTCCATGAAGGTCTGATTAAAAAATAACATCTACCGCTACATTCACAATAAAGTCCTCCCCCTTTTCCCAATCAATGGTTTCCCATTGAAAGAAAATGCACCCTTCCACTGTTTATAGTACCATTCTCTAAGTGTTTCTTCATTGGTTGTTGGTCCCTGTTTACCATTTAAAATTGCATCATCAGGCCCTGCAAAATCACTGTCTTGTGTACTACATGAGAACAAGTGCTAATTCTCATTAGTAGTAGTAGTTTTTGTAGTAGAAGTAGTAGTAGTAACCAGGGGTGGACTGACAACTCATGGGGCCCCTGGGCAATAGAGGATCATGGGGCCCCTGTGTCCTTGCCCACACTAAAAAAAAGCCTACAAAAAGGTACCAGGGGCATTTCATGGGGCCTCCTACTGACCCCGGGCCCTCGGGCAGTGCCTGAGTTCTCGAATGGTCAGTCCGCCCCTGGTAGTGACAGAATTGAGCAAAATTAAAATGGTTTTGTTTAATTTGCTCAAGATTGTATTTCATTTTTTGTAGTGCATGGCCATCCATTTTTGCACAAAAAGGAGTATTTTGCTAAGATTGTTTACTTTATTCAAACTTTATGTATGTTGTATATGAATGAGGCAATCAATTTTCAATCAAAGTACATACATTCATTGCATGCAAAGTTGTGTTTATATGAATATCTCTGGGGAGGGGGTCTATAGCGTTCAGATTCTTAAAGGGTCCGTGACTAAAAAAAAAAAAAAAAAGTTTAGGAATCGCTGCTCTAGGCCCCAGGAGTGACCATTATACCAATTGGTCTAATGCCTAGTACACACAATGAGAAAATCAAATGTAAAATATTGCTTTCGAAGTGATCATCCATTAATCTGATCATTAGTACACAGCTTTCGACAGCCGATCATGACAGACCTTGTGAAAATATCCGAAGGGACAAGCATGAAAGTTTTCTCCTAAGATAACACAACGAATGATTTTAATTTAATCATCACAATATTCGTCTGTAAAAAATCAAAAGACCAAGACTGCGCATGCTCAGGAACTAATTCATACATTACAATACAATACATTACATCACTTTCAAAATTGTACTCTGTCTTACGAGAATTTTTGTAACTTTAGTAACCTCTTCATTTTTGATATGAGACTAGCATGAAAAAAAAACCCAGACAATCTTTCCGCCGGTATCCTTGTCATGTGTACAAGGCTTAAGGGTCCTTTCTCATGAACGTGATCAGTTCTTCCAAATAATAAGTTCAGTTCAGTTTACATCAGTATACATACTTTTTCCCATGTGCATTTTTGGTCAGTTGTTGAAGAAAATAGTAATTGGTGGATAAAGGATTTACATCCATTTATGTCCTCAAAAATGGAAAAAAATGCCTTTTTAGTTTTTTCCTTTTTTTCAGACATAAAAGGACTCAGTAAGTGGATGTACTGTAAACTAAAATACGTCCGCTCTTTCATACATTGTGGATCAGTCTGAATCTGTGTTGACAGAAGGATGCAGATTGAACGCTCATATAAATTGGTCACAAGGGCTCATTTACACTAGTTGTTGGGGGAGGGGAAGTAAAATCATGCAGTTAAGCCGCGATTCTAACACTACCCTCCCCTTTACTTCCCCTGCCCAACTGCTCCAACTTTTGCTACAGCGGTCGAGAGTATACACATGCCACGGCCGTGATGCTTTGTTTCCCAGAAGTAATTATACTGCCCATTTTGTTCAGCTGGCAGTATTGCCCACTGAACACGACCTATTGAACTAAATGGGGGGAATTTGCACTGGCCTGCAATGCACATGGTTGCAGCCAGGGGCGGACTGACAACTCATGGGGCCCCCGGGCAATAGGGGATCATGGGGCCCCTGTGTCCTTGTCCAAACTCAAAAAAGCCTATGAAAAAGGTACCAGGGGCATCTCATGGGGCCCCCTACTGACCCCGGGCCCTCAGGCAGTGCCCGAGTTTCCAAATGGTCAGTCCGCCCCTGGTTGCAGCGCACTAGTGCAGGGTCCAACGGTTTAAAGCAGGTGGATAGGAGGAAATGCAACTCTTACTCGCTGCTTGTCAAATGTGTTCTGAAGCTCAGTCTGAACACAGATCACTCTTCAAAAAGCAATGCTAGTATAAATGAGCCGTAAGGCTCTGTTCACACAAATGCGTTTTTTAGTGCTTTTTTGCAGAAATGCACTACAGTCCAGTTACTATGGTTTCCTATGGCGCATGTTCACATCTATGCTTTTTTTTGAGCTGCTGCATGTTTGGAAAGGGTCAGGGACTCTTTTACAAAGCAAAAAGCAGCATTTTTGCTACAATAGAGTTCAATGGAGAAGCTCTTGAAATGCATGGCAGTGCATTTTTGCGGCATTTTGCATTTTTATTCTGCCCAGCAACCAAAAAAATTCCACTTTAACAAAAAAAAAGAGCTGAACAAAACATAGTAAAAACACGTCAAAAATGCATAACAAATGAGTAAAAAACGCGTGTAGAAAAACACAAAATGAACTGCAAAACAGACAAAAAGCAAACTGCATAGGTGAGAACGGAGCCTAACCCCCTGGTCACATCAAGCCCGACTTTGAAATCGAGCGACTTACTGTGAAGTCGCACGATTTTAAAGTCAGGTGAGATGCCGATTTCAGGTGCGATTTGCAAGACATCTGACACAGATATCTATGCAAATCGCATCAAGAGTAGTGCATGTACTACTTTAGAAATCAGTGCGGCTCCGACCAAGTCGAAACAGCACCGATTTGACCGCTCTAATTGCGGACAATAGGGTGCGACTTGCCATGCGATTTACAAGTCGCATAGCATGCAAATCACGTGACCTCTGATCGCTCAGTTCTCAGTCTACCCTGAGAAAAGGGCAGCGACTGTCAGTCACCGTTTTTTGTTCTGCCCCTCCAGTGCAGGAGCAGCTGGCTCAGGCTCTCAGTGGTGTGAAGATCAGGCTGTGTGGATCCTGACAATATGGTTGGGAAGTCAGCCAGCAGCGGACTTTAGCCCCCCATAGGCTGATTTGGGGTCACAGGAGAGCACAAGTTAGTGCACACCTACAGAGGAAGTGTGGCCAAAAAAACTTTAGCCATGCTTCTATTTTAGGACTCATTCACATGGCCCTAATACAGCCATAAAAACATTTACTGATCCTTGAGGAAAGGAACAAAAGCTCCTGCACAATGATAGTAAATAGATCAGTTTTTTAATGTGTAAACATTGTCCTGTCCTTTTTTATTCAATGGCATATGTGTATATTCATATCCTGAGACACAGATTTTTTAATTTTGTGTTCACGGATCTGAAGGCAGTGCATTTTTATGCACCTGTGTGAATGTCTTTATTGAAAACAATGCAACTGCCTTCACATCCGTAAATAAAAAAACAGTTGTAAATGTGTTTTTTTTACACCAATGTGAATGGAGCTTCAAGAGTCTGGCTGGTGATACATTGTATAACAAAACAATTTTGTATCCTTCTTGTGATGTTAAGATGGCCACTAAGTAGCTAAGACAGACAGACTTCTCTGGCGCTTGGTCCTCTGTTGCATGAATATTCCTTGCTCTTTGTAAATTCTGTTTTGTCTGTAAACCTAAAATTCTTCATGTGATGATGAACATTTAAATTTGTTTCCCCTGCAGAGCTGCAGACCTGTGATCCTGTGACGCAGTTTGTTTGTGAAAATGGACGATGTGTCAGCCACAAATGGCGATGTGACTCAGGCGAGTATTGTACTTGGCATGTGTCTCCATTTATGCTAGATGTGGGTAATACAATATAGTAATTCCACATCCCATCTCCAGAGCACTGCAGCATTTGTGACGTTATCGACTGCTTGATGATCGTCATATAGCATTGTTGTGTATAATATACACTGTGTGCATTGTGTTACAACTTGTGTTTTATTGTTATTGATGATGACGAAATGCAAGCAGGTCTGTGCTGCCTCAACTGTAATTGGTGAAATCACAGATGTCAAGCTGAAATTAGAAACATAGACAAAATCTCTCTCTGTAAATTCTTCTTCTTCTTCTTCTTGTTTCTTCCTTCTTTATTCTTCTCTTTCTCTTCCTCCTCCTCTCTCTCTCTCTCTCTCTCTGTATATACACACTATATTGCCATAAGTATTGGGTCTGCCCTTCAAATCATTGGATTTGGGTGTTCCAATCACCTCCATGGCCACAGGTGTATGAAATCAAGCACCTAGGAATGCAGATTGCTTCTACAAAACATTTGTGAAAGACTGGGTCGCTCTCAGGAGCTCTGTGAATTCAAGTGTGGTACCGTGATAGGTTGCCACCTGTGCAATAAGTCCATCCGTGACATTTCCGGGCTACTAAATATTCCACAGTCAACTGTTAGTGTTATTATAACAAAGTGGAAGCAATGGGAACAACAGCAACTCAGCCATGAAGTAGTAGGCCACATAAAATTACAGAGCAGGATCAGCACATGTTGAAGCACACAGTGCGTAGAAGTCACCAACTGTCTACAGAGTCAATAGCTAAAGACCGCTAAACTTTGTGTGGATACTGCACAGATTTCTGGAAAATTAATTCTTGAACTCTATGTTCAAGTGGAGTTCCAGACATTTCTTTTCCTTATTTTATGCTTTGGGTATAGTGGTCAGAGATTGCATTGCAATAGACAAACCCATCAACATCTGGCCTTGAATTCCACTGAATTACCCATAATTATTGAGCCTCAGTTGTTTATTGATGGCTTAACAAAAACAAAAAAGAAAAAAGTGGTTAAAAACATGTTCCTTAACAATATTTCAGCGCATCACATGACCCCTTTCTCAAGGTGACAGACATCTGACGGAAAGGGGTCCTCTGAGGCCTCAACCATTGGTGAAGGAACCTTGTCCTGTGAAGCCCTATAACATTAGTGGAGGAATATGTGTCTGGCATTTTTCCTTTGTTGCTTCTTTTGGTGAGCGCTCAGTAAATCCCTGAGGCTCATAATGCCATACTGGCTTTTTTTTCCCTATGAGCTATAATTTGAGCCTTACAGGACAAGTTCCTTCACCCAAGTTTTTGAGACCTCACAGGACCCCTTTCTCAAGGTGACATCTGTTGCCTTGAGAAAGGGGTCATGTGGGGTCTTAAATTATTGATGAGGAACATATTTTTGGCACTTTTTACTTGTCACCTGTTTGGTGAACCCTCAATAATTAACCGAGGATCATTATGGGGTGCTGTTTTTTCTATTTTGAGGTTTCCATGTCTGTGTCACTATTATGGAGATTTTCCAAGTCTTTCTGTAACACTATGAGTTTATAAAGATTGAACTTCAGCTGTCCAATAGCTTGCTTTAAAAGTGTCCCTAGCCCACTTTCATGGCATCAGTCACATTCAATCTCCAGGTTGGGAAAAAATGGCACCAGTCACTTTGGTGAAATATGAGATAGTTACCTTAAAAATACTGGACCAAATCAAAGTACCCCAAAAAGTTTATCTCAATCATCAGACTAGATTCTAAGCTTAGCCAAATACCTTATTTTCTGTTTTTTTTTTGTCTCATTCTGCTTCCATAGCCTCTTGGACCTGGTTCCTTGAGGATAATGATTATAGTGATATCCTTATTATAGAATATTTTAGACAGGAAAGCTGTAAAGGTTCTTGTGGTGTTTTCTCACTAAGCCAGTCATTGACCACATCCTTCCAATTTTGGATAGAGACAGGTGCCTCTTCAAGGCCAGTTGCTTTGATTTCAGCAAACCATCCTTTGGTGCTTCCCAGGAGGAGAAACTCACACAGCTTCCATCTTGAGCCCAGGAGAGACACATGTAGCTTTTTCAAAGGGCACGGCTTATGTGAGCTAGCTCTAGGGAATACCTTTCATACAAGGGCACAGTACCTACCACAGGTAATTTAATCAGGGAATCATTTTATTACACATCATAATCAAGAGAAAATCTGTGTTTTCAGATGATGACTGTGGAGATGGAAGCGATGAATTGGAATGTTCGGTTTCGTGTTCGGATAAGCAGTTTCGATGTTCCAGTGATCGTTGTATCCCTGCACACTGGGTATGTGATGGAGACAATGACTGTGAAGACTCAAGTGATGAGTCCCATGCCAACTGCTCCAAAACAGGTTTGTGGTATTCTTTTACAATGTTAAAATGTATAAACTAATCCTGTCATTGAATGTCTAAGCCCTGGTTCATACTTCTGTGACTTATCATGTGACTTGAGACACATAAAGTCGAATGACTAGTCAAAACACATTAATTTCAATGGGTGCCCTCCTAGTCAATGTGACTCAACTCGCAGCAAACAAAAAGAAAAGGTTTCTGCACTACTTTTCTATGACTTTGGAGCAACTCAATTGCCATAGACTGCAATGTTAAATCATAAAATCGCAAGCAAGCCACACAACTTTGATATTGGAGCAGTGTGGACCAAGCCTAAGGAGGTATGCAAACGTGTTGTCAGCCCTGCCTGAGTTCCTCTCTGTTGGACTACAGAAATCCACCCATCCCCAACCCTCTCTGTCCCTATCCACTGCATTCATTGACTTCTTTCTCAGGAAAATAATGCTGCTGCCTTGCCTCCCAAGAGCATGCCCCACACACTGGTGTTTAGTTAAAGTAGAGCAGGTTCACTTTTAAAGTGAATTTTCACTTATCTTAGAGAATGAGGTGCAACAAAGTAAACAATTTGTGAAGAATAATCTTGTTCAAGAAAAAATTAAAAAATTATACTAAAAAAATTAAACAAGATTTTTGCATGTTTTGCTTGTAGGTGGCACATCATCTCAGTTTTCTTTGAAGCAAATGTATGAATACAAAAATAAAAAAAATAATGTCCGTTGGATAATTTTACTACTTTTCTGTGAATAGCCTGCTGAAATTTTATATCCTGCTTTCACAGAGTTGAAAGTATCAGATGAGACAAAGAGTCCCCTACCTGTCTCTAGCAAGAACTACATCTCCCTTCTAAAAGAGTAGAGCACGTTCTCTTTCAAAATTAATTTCCATATATTTTAGTGAATGAGATAAAACAAGCTAAAAATTCATTATGTATAGAATATTCAGTCATTTGCAAGGAAAAAAAAGGAAGAAAAAAAAACGGATTTGTGTCTGCCTATGATTGGAAAATTGAAGAGAGCACTTCACCTCATTCACTAAGCTAAGTAACTTTTCTCTTTACAAAGTGAATTTTTACATAACTTAGTGAATAAGATGAAGTTGCGCCAATTTCAATCATTCAATCATATGCAAGTGAATTTTTTTTGCACGATTGGATATTGTTTGCATTGTAAGAAAAAAAGAAAAAACAACGCAAACCAATTTTAAATATACATAATATATATCAACTCCCAAAAAAAAAAAACGAAATCAGTGCAGAAAAAATTGTGATAGTCCCACTCCAAAGTATATAAATTTCAATATATTAGATATAGTCCTTTTCCAAGAACCGTGACCAGTGTTAACACCCGTTTGTGTTATTATTTGGAGCCAAACTGCCACATAGCCAGGGTAAAGATCTCACAGTCAGTGATAGATGACAGCATGTAAAGACATCAGTGATTTCTCCCTCAAAAAAGATGGCCCCTGAGAGCTCCGCACACTGGCGTGCGCTCCATTCACCGGAAGTGACGTGACGGTTTGGCTCCAGATACACTAAATAAATGCTGATTACATTCTTTTAAGATGTGAGTGGTTTGGTATTTGAATTTATCCTGTCTGAGTCCTACAGTATTACACTATATATGTTTCTCTCTGTGTAAATTACCAATTTATATGGAGAGTGATCTCTGCTCGCCCTGGAGGTTGGAGGCTGATCTAAATTCCACTGTGGATCTCTGAGGCATTGAGTCAATAGTCTTGTCTACATTTTGGGATTTCCGCCTAAACCCTGAGATTGGAGGCTGATTCAAGTTCTATCTTGGATTCCTGAGTTCAAAATTTAAGGCGTTCCATTCACCTATTTCTGGTGAGTGTGGTGTGTGATAATAACACAAACGGGTGTTAACAGTGGTCAAAGTTCTTGGAAAAGGACTATATCTTATCTAACATATTGAAATTTATATACTTTGCTAGTCCATTTTGCCTAAATTTCATTGCAGCAGCTCAAAATGGTACTCAGTAGTTTGTATGGCCCCCCACGTGCTTGTATGCATGCATGCCTAACAACATTGGGGCATGCTCCTAATGAGACGATGGAGTGTCCTGGGGTATTTCCTTCCAGATCTGGACCAGAGCATCACTGAGCTCCTGGACAGTCTGAAATGCAACCTTGCGACATCCGATGGACCGAAAAATGATATCTCAGAGGTGTTCTATTGGATTTAGGTTAGGCGAGCGTGAGGGCCATTCAATGGTATCAATTCCTTCATGCTCCAGGAACTGCCTGCATACTCTCGCCACATGAGGCCGGGCATTGTCGTGCACCAGGAGGAACCCAGGACCTACTGCACCAGCGTAAGTTCTGACAATGGGTCAAAGGATTTTGTCCCGATACCTAATGGCAGTCAGGGTGCCATTGTCTAGCCTGTAGAGGTCTGTGTGTCCCTCCATGGATATGCCTCTCCAGACCATCACTAACCCACCACCAAAACAGTAATGTTGAACAATATTACAGGCAGCATAACGTCCTCCATGGCTTCTCCAGACCCTTTCATGTCTGTCACATGTGCTCAGAATGAACCTGCTTTCATCTGTGAAAAGCACAGGGCGCCATTGACGGACCTGTCAATTCTGGTGTTCAATGGCAAATGCTGATCAAGCTGTATGGTGCCGGGCAGTGAGCACAGGGCCCACTAGAGGAACTCGGGCCCTCAGACCACCCTCATGAAGTTTGTTTCTGATTGTTTGGTCAGAGACATTCACACCAGTGTGATGAGAAAGAAAAGAAGCGCCTCTAAGTGCAGCAGAACCACTTTAATAAAAAAAAAGTTGAGGAATGGCTATGTTCCAGCTTCGGACATCCGCGTCTGACCCTAGCCAAGTGCAAAAATAGTGAAAAACAGAAAACAGTAGGGAAAAACATGTCAGTGGCCTCTACCTTTAAAACCATTCCTGTATTGGGGTCGTCTCATTGTTGCCCATCTAGTGCACCTGTTGTTAATTTCATTAACACCAAACCAGCTGAAACCAAGTAACAACCCCCTCTGCTACTTAGCTAACCAGATCAATATCCCAGGAGTTTAACTGACTCGACGATTTGATGCTATACTCTGATTAAAAAGTGTTCCTTTAATTTCTTTGAGCAGTGTGTGTGTGTGTGTGTGTTTTATATATATATATATATATATATATATATATACAGTATATATTATTATTATTATTATTATTATTATTATACAGGAGTTTATCAATTGGCCAAGGGAGGAGGTGTAGATGGAGAAGAGGAGGGGGTCCGAGGACAGAACCTTGAGGGACCCCAACAGAGAGAGGGAGTGAAGAGGAGGTGGCAGGGTTATAGGTAACACTAAAGGAGAGCTGTGATAGATAGGAGAACCAGGAGAGAGCGGAGTCTCTGAGGCCAAGAGAGTGCAGTTTTTTGAGGAGGAGGGGGTGGTCAACCGTATCAAAAGCCGCAGAGAGGTCAAGTAGTATAGGAGTGTGTGTGTGTA